CAAAGAGGAATGGGCAAAGTGGGTTAATTTTTTTTTTTTTTGCTTTGGTTTGGCTGAGCTGATGCGATTATTCCTCCTCGCCAGATACGCACAAACGTGCATACGTGTACAGCCCTGAGGAAGAATCATACTGAGGGGGTAGAGCAACGTTCTGTCGCAGGCACTCTACATCGCTTCTACACCCGATCGATGTCGTCTAAAGTGGGTCACGTGATTTGGTCCTTACAATTTGTTATATAGCATCCAAATGCCCCTTTTCTAATATCCTGCTGTTCTATGTAAAGAAACTGGGTAGGCTATCACTGGCTCGATCAAATATAATCAGGCCATTATTCTTTCTGAAGCTTCTTCTTAATACATCCCTGTGAAAGGTTCAATTCGTTCGCACCATAATGAAGGGAATCTCCCCACGACGATGTCCTACTGTTTAACTGGTCCTTGCCTTGTGCTCTCATTCATCGATTACCTGTTTAGCCTACCCTTTTTTTTTTACTTCCGTTTTTTATGTCTGCCCTTTTTGCGGGCCTTTACAAATAAGTGCGTTTCGTTTAGGGGGATACTAATTTCTGGAAATAATGCAAAGTCGAAGGTATTTTCGACATGTATTGGTTCCGTTTCGTTACGTAGATTTGTCCCATTTCGGCAATTCACGGTGCTGCTATTAATGTTAGCATCTTCGCACATATTGAGCTGTCCCTTCTTATGGCACTCCTCCTCTTTGCCTCCTTGGCCACTTTTGCGATCGCTGATTATGAAGAAATTTTCCATAACTCTTATGCGATCAGAATTTTCATGACGTATTCTCTTTCGACTTAAGGTTCGTAAATGTGCTTCTTTGTCATTTTGGCTACCTCCAACGTTGCGAGCTTGACCCTTCTTAACACTGAAGCTTCCTGCAGTGGTGTAGTACCAGTCGATGACTTTAAGTCCTAAGCTACTTTTTCCCGTGCTGGAAAATTCTATTTCGCTCTGATCTATTACATACTTCTCAGGAGTACAGGCGTGCAAGCAATTTGAATAATATTCCCTTATCAAGTCCATGACAGAACGCAGCTGTGTGTGATTTAACCCCGTGCGTCAAATGTCATAGGTTATGCGTCACTTCTTTTAAAAAAAATTTTCACCAAATTGTGATCACGTCTGTTGTTGCAATGGAGCCTTTTATTTTTTTTTGACGCCCCTTTGGTAAAATGTGAATTGTGTCAAGCCTATGAAGCAGCTTTATAATTTTTTTCCTTTTTTTTGCTCATAGTGAAAAAGGGCTAATACGTGCGAACACGCAAATAGACAACTGCGTGTGCGTATGGGTATACATATTGACAGACGTGTGTTTATTCCCCCGCGCAAATAGAGACCCACTTGGAAGCATCTCTTCCCCCCTATTATGTATACCCTCACATAACAGACGTGAATGAGCAATTTCCTCCTCTCGTATTGTTATAAACATGTCCATACATCTTACCATATCAACAAATCGGTGTAACGAAATCGAAGAAAAAAAAATGATGTCCATTTATACATTGTGCAAGTTTTCCCCTGAAAACTTCAAAAATGTTGTAATTCGAGAGGGGATACATGAAAAAGGCTTAAATTTGTTTCATCCCTGGATATAAAAAGGTGACAGTTTGCTAATGCTGCGCACGGGGGTAACCAAAGAGATGAAACGTGGCAACGTTGGGAACATTTTACACAAACACGTCTTATCAGGTCTGTTTTGTTAATTAACCATTTTGAGAGGTAAATGAGCACAGCCTACGTTGCGCATTTCGGTTAAATTATTTCGCTGCTAGTACGATGGGCTGAAACAATGGCACAAACGTTCAGACATATTGTTCAAAAAAAGAAATTTAAACCATTTTTTTTTATGTTTTTTTTTCATAATTCACCAATTTGATCCCCACGTTTTAAGAACAAAATTGTATCCCGTTTTGCCAATCCATCTGATTATAGGAAAAACGACATTATAGTAAAAAAAAAAAAAAAGGACACATCAACGTTGCGATCAAATGTGTTCACTTGTTCAGAGAATTTCCGCAAAGGCATTTTCGTTCGCCCTCCGGAGCGCGCGTAATTCTATGTCTGAGCCTCTTATACTTCACTAGCGAACTGCAAACATTGTATTTCACTATCTTAGGGATTATATCCTTTTTTATCATTCTTATATGGCACAGTTATTGTGTCACCATGGGGCACGTCACATGCAGAGGGATAAGCCGCCATACCAAGTCACCTCATTAACATACACAATTAGTCTTTAATATACCCTTTCCTCATAGCGCCTAAGAAAGTGGCTCAATCTGTGCGAAGATATACCTAGGTACCTTCGTGCACAGGTTAGCATATCCGCCTCTCCTTGTAAGCAGTCCATACGTATCCCTTTTACTTTTTAAAAAATTTCGACCACATGGGGAAGAAGTCAAACATGGCAACCAACTTCTCATACGGGTACTTCCGCTCAAAGAAAAGCATACTCATATAAAGGAGAACATCCTCCAGCTTAGTGCATTTTTCCAAATTGTGTAGGAATTATTTCCACGCTATTGGAAAAATAGGTGAGGTTAATTCCTCCCCCTGTAAACGACACAACACGCTAGGATCTTTTTACAATGAAGCTAAATGAAAAAATAAAACAGAATTGTGTAAAATTGTTCTACTTCCCGTCCGTTCATATATGCATATGCTTATATATCTTATTCTGTGTGCAATACATGGTAGTGTGCCGCGGAATAATCACGCGACGTTTCAGTACTCATCTGAGGGGTGCACATAGAAAAAAGAAAAGCTAACTGATTAACACGTACGATTCCTAATAAGTAGTCCATTGAGCTGTGCACATGCCCTTTTTGTACACCACACAGGGATGCACCTCTGTCATATTGGTGCCCTGTACTTCATTTAATCGACGAATTTGAATAAAGCATAACCAGGAAAAGCGAAAAGAAGCAATCCCCCCAAAGAAGCTGATCTTTCATTTGCCGCAGCGACGAGGAAATGTTCATGCTATGCCTTAATGGGAGTGGGATGCACCTCTTGCACAACATTATCACGTTTCCGATATTACGCTGCCGTATTACCACTTGACCAACAACGCTATAGTGGCCACACATAAACGGTTCATACTCGGCTGTAGTGGCAAAAATATACGTAAGACGTCCACATCGCTCCTTTTTTTTTTTTTTTTTTTTTCTTTTGCCATAGTGTTGATACCGCCCTGCTGTGCGTTTCACTTTGCATCTTCATTTCGTAACTCAAGTGGGAGTTGCGCAGCATTTGCAAAAATGATTCAAATGAGTGGAAGCGCCCGGTTGGTTAAACGTCCTTTCTCACTTATTCTTAGCTAACCCTTCACCCTTTTTACAAAAACACGCCTGCTGCTTGTATGTAGAGTGTGACAATGTGCACAAAATTATGCACGCGTATCGTTCAGTAAGTGACGTATATATGTATGCCTGTATCACGTGCACGTGAACAGCCTTGTGCTGGATTCCACAGTTCTGCTGCAATTTGTCAGGGGTTCATATGAGAAGTTGACACGTACAAAGGAGGACGCCTGCGTAGATTATTTTCCTCCTTTATGGGCATACTTTGCAAGAATACTGCCATAACTGCCCGTGCACCTTTTCAATTGCCCGCGTCAGCTGCGAAGGCGACACAAAAAAAAAATAAGCGCGAACCAAACTCGTGTCCGCGCCAAGGCGTAGCAGCAAAAGGCAGAAAAGCAGAGGACAATGGGTTAAAAGAAAAAACGGAAATCAGAAAAAAAGTACATACCTGCATACAGAGGTGCGTACATGCTTGAATACAGACGTAGGTACATACTTGCATACAAACTTGCGTACATACGTAAAAAATCAAACGTACATGTACACATTTATATAGTAAAATAAACTGCACGCGGAGGCAAAAAAAAGTGCGTTGACTTGAACCAATGGCAAATGTTTCCTCATATTTTTAATTTTTATTCATCACGCCCGTGTCCACTTAACATTCTACGCAATCGGTATGTACATATATGTAAAATAGGCCTTTTCAGCAGAACTGCGGTTTGGGCGCAGCGTAAATGTAGCGTTATAATAGCCCGAACATATCGCACGAACGCTGCGTAATGCCTGCGTACAATTGGTGCGCAAATCATTGCCCGAATATTTTACCTTTACATGACTGCAATTTGGGCGCGCTATAAAAATCCCAAAAAGATAACTTCGAAAAAACTTGAGGAAGTAACGAAGAGAAACTTTTACCTTCCTGCTAAGTGTCACTTAACTGCAAACTTTTTTACTTTTTTTTTTCCCCCTCATTTTTTTCCACTACCTCTTTCCATATTTTTGTATTCATTTTTGTTTCAAACTTCATCGCCATTTTTTGTGCTAACTTTTGCTCCAAATTTTATGCCTATTTTATGGCCTTTTCATATTTTGTTTTTTTGCCACATTTTGGTATTTATATATATCCCTTTTTTTTTATTTTTTTACTTTTTTTTTCCCGCATTCACATATCCATGCAAACGCGAAACGCGATATGGTATGATTAAATGTACGCAGTTAAGCCGAAAAAATTGCGCAATCGATTGAGAACGTAAAAAGCAGGCCACTTTGGTAAAGGAAAAAAAAAAAAAAAACGGGAATAGAAGGAACAGAAAAAAGGCAAAAACGCGAAAAGAGCGAATCAGCAAAGGAAAAAACAAATATTCACACCCAAAAGGAGGAATATCGCGCTTCCTCTTTGAGAAAAAAAAAGGGGCCCCCCCTCTAAGTTTCGCACGAACTTGTTTTTGCGTCACTTTTGAAAGGTCCAGGTGGAAGAAGTTTGCCCGTTGTGCATACGGAAGTTGGCAAGTCACAGGCTGCAAACGGAAACGTGTAGATTTCCTACACCGCGGCGGCATCGTTCAAACGGTGGAAGGGTATAACAGCTTAACCGCTAAATCGACAAGCAGCCAGATCCCGAAGCAACCAAATCGCTAAGCAGCTCAACCGTTCAACCACGCGAGGCGCCTAAATATGGATAACAATGAGAACATAGACTCGAACGATAACTCCTCCGACACCAACACGGGGAACTACAACCAGGGGAAAAACGAAAACGTATCGGAGGAAATGGACTTCTGCAAAGAAGACAACGAACTGGATGGAAACAACAGGGAATCATCCCAATCGAAGCAGGATAATATGGCAAAGACAAAAAATGCTTCGGATAAGGATGACATAAACATGGTCGACTATAGTGACCATCATTTCCCATGCCACCCGGCGCCACCCGTATCGATAAAGCTTTTCATAGGAAGAGTGCCAAAAACTATGGAGGAAGAACAGGTACGACCCATATTTGAAGAATTTGGACTCGTAAAAGAAGTTGTAATCATAAGGGATAAAATTACAAATATACACAAATCAAGTGCCTTTGTAAAAATGGTATCCATCTCAGAAGCAGATAATGCCATACGGTCACTGAACAATCAAAGAACATTGGATCCTCAGCTTGGTTCACTCCAAGTAAAGTACGCATCCGGAGAAATTATGAAATTAGGATTTCCACAAAATGTCGAATCAGGTGTTGATCAGGCAAAACTGTTTATTGGATCTTTGCCAAAAAATATAACAGAAGAAAGTGTGAAGGAAATGTTTTCACCTTATGGTTCTGTAGAGGAGGTATTCATAATGAAAGATAATTCAACCGGATTAGGAAAGGGATGTTCTTTTGTAAAATTTGCTTACAAGGAACAAGCACTTTATGCCATAAACTCTCTAAATGGGAAGAAAACATTAGAAGGATGTGCACGTCCTGTGGAAGTCCGATTTGCAGAACCCAAGTCGGCTAAGCAGGCACAAATTCCCATGACTCTGCAACCCATGCAGAATACATCTCATGGTATTTCCTCGCAACCACATGTGACCAGCCCGAACAATATCAATTTTGGCAATAACTTTGGCGTTAATAATAACTACCCGCGACAAGTTGGTGCCTGGAAGGAATACTACTCTGGAGAGGGAAGACCTTACTACTACAATGAACGGACCAACACAACACAGTGGGAAATTCCAAAAGAATTTGAAACCCTCTTTATGGGTAATACCCACAATATTCACAATCTTTCTGACTCATCAGGTAATTTGGAGAAAATGCACATTTTTGAGTTTAAGTGTTCGTCTGGGGGACGCGCGCCATTAGGCATTTCCCCAGTGAGGTTGTTTATCTCATTTGTGCATGCCTATTTTGGATTCACTATATTTTTTTTTCACCCTTTGCATTTTTCCCCTCTTTCACAGGCCCCCCAGGAGCGAACTTATTCATCTTCCACGTGCCGAACGAATGGCACCAAACAGACCTCATCCAGGCCTTTTCCCCGTTTGGCGAACTTTTGTCTGCCAGAATTGCAACCGAGAAAAGTACCGGCCGAAACAGAGGTTTCGCATTCGTCTCGTACGAAAGTATTGAAAGTGCCGCGGCGGCAATTTCACAGATGAACGGATTTATGGCATTAAATAAAAAGTTAAAGGTAACTGTGAAGAAGGGAGAAGAAGAGGAAATGAAAAAGTTCGTCAACCAAAATGGGATAAACTCCTTCCAGCAAATGTCCAGACCGCAAAAAAACATCCCAGCGCAACCCAATGCAATAGCACAGCCAAGTTTCCCACCACACCAAAATGCCCAACCACAGAATTTTTTCTACTCCAATAGCAACAGTTATAGGTGTGGGCCTTATTGAGGTGAATTTGTGGACTGGCAGTCCCTCTTCCCCCTTTTTTTTTTTTTTTCTTAT